GTCTATGAGCTTTACGTTCAGTATCTTACTGAACGTTTTTGGCCTTATTCGGAAACCAATTACCCCTTGTCTTATCCAGACCCTTTGCCTTACCCCTTTTGCCTCATTCTTGGGACTCAGCCGTTAAACCACAGTCTCTTTTTTCCAGTCCCAAGTTTGATAAGAGAAACCTTAAGTATTTTTATACTTTCAACTATCAACCGCAATTTTTGTCTCGACAGTTTGGCTGCTGTCAAGGTTTACCAGGTCCACTCGCCCGCCCACACCTAATAACTCAGAGCCCCGACGGGCGAGTTACCCCTTCTTTGGTTTCACCTTATCTTTCCCAGCTGATTTCTTACATCACTTCCAACTCCTACCTTCATTTCCCCCGTGACCCCAAGACGGTGGAAACCTTTCCCTCTTGGTGGTCGGATACTTGGGCGGTGGTGGCCCCTCCTACTGACCAATTGCTGGCGATATTAACCCCTCCTCCAGCCCTTGCTTTGGGCTCGCGAACTCTTGCCACGGTCCTCAGGAGCAAACGGGCGGCTCCCGCCGAAGGCCCCAGCGCTCCAAAGAGGAAAAGAGCCGCCCGACCGAAGGCCACCACAAGACCGGTATATGATCGGCAGACGGTAGAGAATTATTTGGTGTCCCTACCTGTGGACCCAATCTGGATGCCTGCCAATGTGCGGCGACACATGGGTAAGTATAAGCCATAACCTTAACTCTGTTTTTCCTTCAATTTATTCTTGACAAGGTTTTTCCTCAGCGTTGTTTGCTGAGAAACCAGCCGACCAGACTGCCGATCATGAAACGGATCGGTCGGTTGATCCACCATTCGTCCCCGAGGTAATCCCCTCAAAGTCTTTCATTTCTCGTAATTATGGTTTCTAACTTTACCTCTTTACCTGGGCGCAGACTACTTCTTCCCCGCCTGCAGCCCGGAGTGGTGAACAATCGGGCGCTATACCGAAAGAGCTGCCCGTGATGCCTCTCGACAAGGACCCGACTTTGAGGCAGATGTCTTCATCAACCTCCACTCAGTCCCGACCGGAAATGCCGGTCGGCCAAAGGTCCGCCATTCCATCGGAGGCACCGTCAGTAATTCGTCGGGAAAAGGACCCGACGATCATGTTGATTGCGTCATCGACATCTACCCCTTCTTAGCCGCACGTGATCCCGGTGAGCATATAGCATGTTGTGAGATTATGTTTCCTATCTAGAGTCTAACTTATATTCCTTATCTCAGGGGCTTGCGGCAGCCGACCCGGTGGTCGAACCAACGATTACTGAACACCAACCGCCGGCGGTCCTTGAGCTGGTTCAACCGAACGCAGAACCAGAACCGCCGATCCTTGCATCAGTCCAAGCAGTGCTTCAACCAGTCCAAACAAACCCTGAACCAGTCCAAGCAGACCCTATACCAGTCCAACACTTTGAACCAGTCGACGTCTCTTCTTCAGAGTCGGGCGACCCTTCTGTTAATCAGAACAGCGAAGCCGTGGTTAGTATTTTTCCTTGTCTTCATCCCCGTATGCTAATCCCAACTTTCTTTGACTTGACGTCTTACATTTTCAGGGTTCTGAGCCAGGCTTCATAGGTTCTCTGCCCGCAGCCGCCGAATCGGTTGGTCGGATGAGGAACCCTTCTAGCCCTCCCCCACTAACTCCGGTTCTGCTAACTCCTTCTGAAGCTACGGCCGTCCTCCACCAGGTAACGTCTATATCACTGCATTAGCTTATTTTAACTTATGAATCTTTAATCACTCTAAGGTACTTAAACAGGCAACTTGTGAGCTTACTTTCCTCAGCAAAGTGCCATTACTGGGATCTGCCTGACCAGTAGTACTGCGCTGCGTCGATGTTTTCTTGGCTGATCTGAGCTCTGCAGATGTAAACTCTCTACGTCAGGTGGTCATTGATTTATTGGTGCAGACTTCTGCTGAGTCTGTCGTGGCACCAATCCTCAGTCGGATGATGGAGAGGATCATTGAACTTCAAATCCACCTGCCTTTGATTCGACCCCCAACATCCAACTCTGCACCGTCTTAGCCCATCCCTGCCACTGCAACCATTGAGGCGTCCCTGTCAAAGGCGGCAGTGGTACTGAATGAACTTTCTAGTAGGTTGACTGCACACCAGCAAATGCGCCATCATTTGACAACTGAAATCTCTCAGAAAATGAAGGAACTCGAGAACCTTCAGAAACAACTGGAGTCATTAGAAGGCTGCATTCAGGAGGATAGTCGCCTGGTGAAGGAGCAGCGCCAGACTTGCGCCAGCCTCCATGACCAACTCCAAGCCAGTACTCGGTCAAGGATAATACAGGAGCACGAAAGTGCCGTCCATCAAAGAAGAATGGCCCGCACTGAACAGAAATGGGCCGACCTAGTAACCGCCCTGAAAGCACTCCTTATGTAACGTGTTTCGCATTTTTATGTAACAAATGTAAACATTACCTTAACTCCATCCTTTCTCTAAGTTATTTAATCAACTCATTTGCACCACAAAATTAAAACATGACTTGTCCATCTAAGGAGATAAGACGACCAGAGGATGTTGTTTCGCCGTCTGTTGATCCACGGTTGGTTGGTTCTCAGTCGGCTGATCCGCTGTCGGTTGGTTCTAAGTCGGTTACATAGGTCAGATGGTCCGAAATCGGTTGAGCCAGGTCGTGTGGTCCGCTGTTGGTTGAGTCAAACGACACAGAGGTCGGCTAATATGAAGGTCGGTTGATGCGGAGTTCGGACCAAGTGAGGTCGGGCAAAGAAGAATGAGACGGACGATACGTGGTCGGACAAGAGACCAGATGGTGGTCGCTTGATGGGGCGGCCAATGAATCGTTTGTTCTAGCGTTCAGTTAGTCTCTGGATTGGTCGGGTGGTACATAGGTCGGGCGAAACGAAGTCGGGCAAGAAGGGACATGACAGTGGATATGCAGGTCAGACGAAAGGCATTTCTGGGACGGTAAACAGATTATATTCATACAAAAAAGTATAAATATAATATTCGTATAAAGATATATTAAATAATATAATTATATTTTATATTTTTTCTCTATAAATTTTATTTTATTTTTTATTTATATTATCTTATATAAAGATATTGGATAATATAATATTGTTCATTATATATTATTTAAAATTAAATTTATATATTTATTAATTGAATACAAATTTTAATGATAGATTCAATTGAAATTAAATTTGTATATTATATTTTTATTTTTGTTCTTTTATTTCAACAATTTAATAATAAATATAGTTAATCATTTTAATTATTCTCAAATAAAAATTAACATTTAAATATACACGTATAATGTAATATTATTTTAAAAATAGTTATAATTTATATTTCATTAATTAATTTTTAAATATTTTAATTATGTATGCACCCGTGCATAGCAAGGGTTGAAACGGTAGTTATTATTATTATTATTAATACTGTATTATTTTGTTATGGTTAATTATTATTTGTAAATTGGTCAATTAATTTTGGTTTCGGATTGTAAATGTTTTCTGTTATTAATATTTGTTAGGGTATTGAGTGGTGAATGCTGGCTTATTGAATACAAAAGTGGTGATTATCTACGTTAAGACTTATTGAGGACAACATACCTTGGATTAGCCAATAGGCACACGAGTGAAACTTTCAATGTTGCATCACAAAAATTGATTTAATATGTCTAAGTAATTAAAAAAATATCACGTTGGTTATAATCTTTTCTTCACTTGGATTCTACTTGTTCTAAAATGACAAAATTCTTGCATGAAATCGTTTAAAAACTCGGACACACCCAGGGGAAAAAAAAACACTGACACACAGAGATGATAACACAATATATAGAAAGCAAGATATCACATCCAATCATTCATTATTAATCTTAACAAGGATCAAGCTAATGAGATAGTGCATGTTGCATCATTATGGAAGTCATGTTCTACTAAAAATCTTGCCTGCAGAATTTTTAGAGTTGTAGCTGCAGAATGGATTTTATTCAATCACACAAGAATCTCATTCTGTATAATAAAAGTTCGAGCAAGCTTAAGCAGACTTACCTTGGAGCCGGAGGGTAAAGGCGTATAACGACAAGACAACCTCCTTCAATCACTCCTTGGCTGATTCATCCATTAAGTTCCCATCACTGTCGAATTTGGCAGGAGCTTGGAATGCATTGAGGAAGAACTCGGGCTTGTTGATGAAATGCAGATCAATGTACACTCCCGTATGGCGGAGATGATACTGAGATCTGCCGTCACCAAATCCTCCTATGGCGCTTACAATTGCTGCTACTTTGTCCCCCCAAACATTCGGGGGCCTAGATGCCCAATCAATTGCATTTTTTAAAGGACCTGGCGAGTTCGACATTATTAGCAGAGAAAAATTCAAAATTCTTGAGGTAAACAAATTGTATGTGGCATTACCATATCTTATTTATTAAAGCTCCCATTTTCTGTCCAACAATCACTTTTCTAGCTAACAACTATCCGACATGTTGACATGAAATGGTTCTATAAATTAAGAGCACATTAGACTTTGTTCTATAGCAAATAAGTATGGACTAAATTAATGTAAGGCTCTAATGGAACAACATATGCATCATATATGTAAATAAAAGTTACCGGTCATTGAATAATTGTATTCCGGTGAAGCAAAGAGTATGTTGTCGGCAGCAACAATCTTCTGCCTGAAAGCCTCTACTGCAGGCAGGTATGTCCCATTAACCTCAAGATCAGTGTTGACAAACAGCAATGGTGATATATCCACATACTCGATCTCTAAACCATTAATGGACTTTGAAACGTCTATGGCTGTGTATATGGATTGATTCATTCCCAGCAGTTCCAGCACAACATTGGCCAACAACAAATGAAAAGCACGACAGACATAATATCAAAAAGATGTTCACTGTATAGTCATTTGAAAGCAAACATAATCCACAAATTATTCATTGATAACATTAAGGGGAAGGATCTCGTTAAGAAGGAAAATTGGAATCAAGTTCGAAAATGTCATCTAATCACAAGTTTGATCACCATTATAATACGAATCTGGATTAAAACTACTGTCGATTTCTTCGATAAATTTAAGTATGGTAGCAAATAATTGTGCAAAAGCATGGGGCATTTGGAAAAGTGCAGCTTCTCGCAGACAATCTATCAATGGAATATCACTCTCTAATAAACCTAACGCGACACATGCATTTCTAAATGAATCATGTATAACACCATCAACTGTTCTTAAGTCCTCATATGATACAGGAGCGCGACGGGACTGCAAAGGCAGACGAAGAAAATATCTTTCTTGGTCAGTTGGCCTTGCTGTAACAACCCTCCCTACTATTGAACCTTGTTTGCGAAAATTCCAATTATTGTGTGATCGATCCCATACAAAATATTTTGGAAATTCTTTGTGAAGTAGATTAAGTGCCTTGGCATATGTGTTGGTTGCATTCATGACAAAGAATTCAGTAAGCATAGTTTTTTGGGCACGTGCATTTGTTACAACATCTTGTAAAGAGTCTGTTACTTTGAATGAAGTGTACTGAAAATTAGGTAAATGCAATTGCAGAGCAAGTACAGGAGGGTGCATATCTGTCAAGGGGAACGCAAAAATACGCCAACAAGCTTCAGGTGGAGCAACCCAACGGCCAGTTTGGAAATCAATGATCTTATCACGAGGTGTGTCGGGTGTTGTTGTGCCCACAACATAGGCAACCCGATCATGACCTTTATACACATATTTGTAGAGATATTTTACAAGTTTGACACTCGAGCATACTTCCAAGTTTATATGACAATCAAACTTAGCAAGTAAATATGGATTATATGGTACCACCCAACGGTTGTCCAAAGTACGTCCACGCACATAAACAAAAATCCCATTATTTTGTCTTCTGTACTTGGGATACCCATTTGGAGTATAAATTGTTTCATCCACAAATTCCTTTGGGTAATGATTCTTACATTGGCCATCAACCATGCACACATTAGTTGGGTTTTGAGAGCCACAAGGACCATGCATCATATGTTTCAAGACTAACTGAAATAAGTAGGGGTTTGAGTTACTATCAGGAAGTTCTGCAGATATAAATTTGTCGTAAGTTGTTGGATTGTGTAATTTAAATTGTGGAAACATGATAAGTAGCATATGGGCATGTGGCAATCCTCTTTTTTGAAACTCAATGACGTATGAATACGTCTGCACTTTACCTAGCAAGTCTTGTTTGAAGAGTTCATTTTTCAGTTCTTCAAGTTTCATTCTAAACACACGAGCAACAATGTCAGGTCTATCGGTTGATAATTCAAATGGTTTTAAGACTTCTTGAATCTCAGGCCATTGTGGATTACAAGTGATTGTAAAGAAAAAACCAGGCTTACCAAATTCTTGCACAAGAGCCATAGCATTCATATATCTTTGTTGCATATCACGGGGACCACCAATGAAAGAAGATGGAAAGACAACTGGTTGTCCAATCATAGATAACGGTTCATGTTGGGATTGGTTAAAAGCATCTAGAATACCCTGCATGGTGTCGTGACGGTGTTGTTTTTGCACTTGTTCAGACCGGAAAAAATCTAGCCTTTGAGTTTCTATTTTTATGTACTGGTCGGTTATATATTGTTGTAACAAACGGCCAATATGTAATAGTAAAGTAGGAGTTGCAGGGTGTATTTGGAGGCGATATGCATAGTACTCTCTAATGGAGACATGACTCTTGTCCATCCGGCGTTTATTATGTCCTAATTGCATAAAAGTGAACAAATGAGGAAGATAAAAATATTTAGAAGACAATGCATCAATTAATACATACTGTAATGTGGGGAGCCATTTATTAATAGGTCAACTTCTTCAGTGTAAAACGACTCTGCTGATAAATTAGGTGTTGACTGATCAGAGGAAGACGAAGATGTAGCAGAATTTTTCACAATACCCGGATACCAACCCGGCTGGCCAAAAGAATGGATCAATGGATATTGAACAGGATCGTAGGCATAAGAATAATAATCAACCTTTTTGACAGAACCATCAACCGGATATACTTGTATGTCCCTAGATAATTGGGGACAATCTGAAGACCCATCCTGCCATATAATTGATATATCATCAACCCGTGGAAGATTATACACTCTTCGATCTAATCGATTTGATGTTTTTAGAAATATTTTATAGTTATCAAGACAAGACATTGTATACAATTGACGGAATAAACTTGCATAAGGGTTGAGATGAGACAACTCAATCAAGATTGTAACAATAGATGGATGTAAAGTAGGGGTAATTAGTCAAACGTGTGGCAAGCTCTTGTGTAGGATCATAGTAATAAAGTTGCAGGTTTCTCCGTACATTTGTTGATGGGAGCAACGAGTTAATGAAATGGTGAATTGTATTTTTAACACGGAATATATATAAGTTGTGATCATTATTACATAAAGATACGTCGTAGTGAACTCCTAATGTAGAGAAAGCAAAAGAGTTATTATAAGTTCTAACATAGGTACGAAAGTGAGATGATAGTTCATGGCGATTAAGGAAAAGGTCTTGCAAGGCAGGTGGCATGTCCATTGGTGGTAGGGAAAACTTTCCACCAGCACAACATAGGGTTTTATGCTCACGGTAGAATAATAATGCACCACAAAAACGGAATTTAGTCGGTTGGGGTGTAACCCAAGGCGACACATAAATGGCAGACAACCGTAGTAGTGGAGAGTATGTTGGTAAGATGAGTAAAGTTTCAATAGATACGAAGATACATAATAAATTAAGTAAAGAAACAACATTTAAAAATTTAATAAACTAAAAAACGAAAGTAAAAAACAGAATATGCATACATGTTTGGTTAACCGACCGACTATTACTTGTTTGGTTAGTTAATCGAAGATCACTTGTTTGTTGCCGACGTCTAATACATTGCAATGACTGAGATTGCGTCATCGGCTGTAAAAAGAAGAAGTTATAGGTAGAAAATAAATAAATAATATGAATTTGAGAAAAGAAAAAGACACAAAACCAAAAAAAGAGTAAATAAGAAGATTACTTATGTCCCACAAAGTAAGTATAAATTGATAACAACATACAAGTTTTAATACCCAAATCAACTAATACATAAGGTCTACTTTTAAAGTCAACTATAGAAAATTAGTAAACATGTTGAATCCATTTTGTTCGTGGTCAAAACAAAAGTTTCTCAAATAATTCAATAACAATGAGATTCAGTCAATAAGAATTAATAGGGTACACCATGACAAAATAGAATAAAAATAGCAATTTTTTAAAAAGACACCAACAATATCAATAACAAAACAATGGACTATAAGAAATATTGAAGAATTTGATTTTCAGAAATTCGGAAAGAGATATCAGTGTTCAATTTTGATCAGTTATGTGAAAAACACAAAAGCAATTATAAAGAAAACACACCCAAAATTACAATAAATAAATAATCCACAAAATCAGCAGTATTCCAAACTCAGACCCAGGTGAAATCCAAAACAGCAGTATCTAAAATACGAAATGAAATGGAGGAATTCGAAACAAATGCACCCAAAATTCGACCGAAGCAAAAACCAGACAAAACTAAAACTAAAACTGGTCGGGGCAGAGATCTGTACTTTCGATGGCCGAATGAAAATCGCGCTTTCGGTTCACAACAACGAAGACCACACCAGGGAAAGCCCAACTGTTTAGGGACAGTGCATTGTGATGAAGATGATGATAGACAAAGGCGTGGCTGGACGGCAACAGCGGCGGCCTGAGCTGCGATTTCGGCGGGGAAGCGGAATAGCAGAGCAAGTGGCTGTGTGAAAAGACAGTGGTGAAGGGGTCGTCGATCAGGCAGATGAAGCAGGAAGCCAGTACAAAGGTAGGTTAAAGGGCTAAATTGTCATTTTTGAAATGAGGGGCAGGATAGACTTTTCAAGTAGCAGATCCGTACAAGCTCGTCTTTTCAAGCCAGTAAAAAGGTAGGTTAAGGGCTAAATTGTCATTTTCGAAATGAGGGACAAGATAGACTTTTCAAGTGGCAGATCCGTACAATCTGATGTTTGCCCTAATGTCGCTTGGTCTAGTCGATTGGTCTGGTTGGTTGGTTTTCGGTCGGATGGTCAGGTAGGTTGGTTAGCGGTCGGATAGGCAGACCGGAAGGTCCTCGGTCGGTTTGTCCTTGGTCGGATGACCAGGTCAGTTGGTTAGCGGTCGGATAGGCAGGTCGGAAGGTCCTCGCTCGGTTGGTCTGGTCGGTTGGTCCTCGGTCGGATGGTTAGCGGTTGGACAGACAGGTCTGATGGTCAGCAGGTCGGACAGACAGGTCTGATGGTCTGCGGTCGGATAAAGTAGGTCGGCTGGTCTGCGGTCGGATAGGCAAGTCAGTTGGTCGGCGGCAGATAGACAGGTCGGTTGGTGGGTGCGGCCAAAGAGTCTTTGTCTACCGATTCGTCTCTGAATTGGTCGGTTGGGCTATTTGAGTTCTGGAACTGCTTTAGGGTTTAGGGTTCAGAAGGTCCTCGGTCGGTTGGTCTCTGGTCGGATGATCAGGTCGGTTGGTTAGCGGTCGGCTAGGCAGGTCGGAAGGTCCAAGATGGGTTGGTCTAGTCGGTAGGTCATCGGTCGGATGGTTAGCGGTCGGACAAACAGGTCTGATGGTCAGCAGGTCGGACAGACAGGTCTGATGGTCAGCAGGTCGGACAGACAGGTCCGCTGGTTTTCGGTCAGATAGGCAAGTCAGTTGGTCCGCAGGTAGATTGAGAGGTCAGTTGGTAGGTGCGGCCAAGGAGTCTTTTGGTCTAGTGATTGGTCTGTGGATTGGTCGGTTGGGCTATTTGAGTTCTGGAACTAGTGGAGGCGTTTGGCGAGGCGGTTGATGTAACCAACCAGACGACGTTTCAAAACGTTTTGTCTTGCGCAGTTGACGGCGGTTGCTGGCGACGGTTCCAAAACGTCTTTTCAAGCCGGTACAAAGGTAGGTTAAGGGCTAAATTGTCATTTTCGAAATAAGAGGCATAATAGACTTTTCAAGTGACAAATCCGTACAATGTCGTGTTTATATGATATAATATCCGTACAATCTCGTATTTATATGATATAATATATTATATTTTTTAACAATAGGTTAGCAAACCCAAATTGCAACATGAAGCTAGCTAAAAGCATGTTTCACATCATACTCAAATTGTATCATTTGTAACTTTTCTAAATAAACAAACAAACATATTTATATGCATTTAGAATTTTAGAAATTTTCTTTATAAAATTTATTTATATTGATCATGTAAATATATATATATATATATATACACACAATTGATATTCATATTAACCATATTTTATTGATATATAATATTTTAATATTTAAATTTAATCAAAACAACAACAACATAAATTGATATTCTCTTGTGATTAAAGAAAATCATTTTTTTTATTTGTCTATCGTAAAAAATATATTTATCTTTTTTAGCAAAAGAAAAAATCATACTACTTTTTTTACAATAAAAAGACAAAAAATATATATTACGGGTGTGTTTGTTTGAAGAATTTTTGTAAAATCCTAGTATTCATCCAAATTTTTTTTTCCAAAAAATCAAATTAAAGTAATTTAGAGTTGGGTTAGGGTTGAATAATTTAACCAATTTAAAATATTCAACCCAACACGAATCGACCAATTGCCAGCCCTATACAATATTGTAATACATAAATATTTTAGGACCAGAAATTTTTTTTAGGGTGTGTTTGTTTGAAGGATTTGTGTGAATTTCTACTATTTACACAAATTTTTTCCCCCAAAAATATCAAATCAAACACCTATTTTTTATTTTTTATATTATACTAAAAAATCAATATTACCTTCAAAACATCACATTAATACATATTTATATCATATCATACAATTATTCAAATTCAATTTTTTTACTATTCATATCCCAATCCAAAATCCAAACACCAGACTATCGCAAATCATATGAATTTTTTTATTATTTTGCTTTTTTTTTTTTAATAATGCCAACGAATCGTACTATTTTTATATAATTATTTTTTGAAGTAGAGGAATTGGTCTATAATATAAAAAAAAAAAAAAAAAAAAAGAAAAGAATTTTTGTTGTGGTTTGAGTTTCATATTCTTCCATTGAAATTGATGGAATTTTCAAACTTTGCTCTTTATTGTGATCCATACTATTGAAAGAAATTTTATAGGAGGAAGTTTTTGAGTGATTCAAACAATTTCTCTTGAAAAAATAAATTAATTTCTTGAAAACAGTAGTATAATGATGATCTGATTTTTATATTTAAATATAAATAATGATAATTTCCTTAAATTATTGCCCTTAACTTAGACATTACATTATGCATTTATATTAGATTAAATTAATTTTATTAATCAAAATTACCAATTTATCTCTAATATAAATATCAATTGTTCATCTATTTTTTAATAGGATGGCCACAAAATTTCAGCATGATGCTATATTCGGATTGTACTATTTATATTTATTGAGGTGGTATTTTGAATGTAAAATAAATTTTTAGTATAATATAAA